CTAATTTGCCCTACCAAGTCCCTGACTTTTTTAACGCTATTTCCCTGCCGTTGTGTGAAAACACATATTATGCACTTTAAGGATCTTTTTGGATAGGCATCTGGTTGTGGTTTCTACAGCATATTCACAACTCTGTTTTAAGGCCAAAAAAGGAATTTTCCAAAAGCTTGCACATTGAAAGTATTGCAGTGTATCAGGCCAGAAATCATGTTAGTAGATGACAGGGCTGGATTACATCTAAGAACTAATTTACAGGTAACAAAACTGCATTGAATAATTCTCTAACTTTTTGCACTTCAGGGTTTACTTGATGCTGGGTATACTGTTATTGTTGAACTGCTTTTTATGTTCAGCTGGTTAATATACTTTAAATATTTATGTGCTCAGATATTTCAAATGAGATGTTTCTAAGCCATTGTTTCTTGTCATGCCAAATTCTAATGTAAATTTTCCTACAGTCTTTAGATTTTGTTTTGTGACCAGTCATGTTGTTTAGGAGGAGCTAGACACACTGAGTTTTAGTTCCAGTTCAGTTATGCCAGTGCCATATGAGCAGAGTTCTATCTTTTTTGTATTTCAATGCATGTTATTAAAATGATATATACCACTATCTTTTCCTGCGGTCACTTTTTTTTTAATCCTGTCCTCACTTAAACATAAAAGTTTGCTTATGGAAGTGAAAATTATCCGCTAATTTTCTAGCATTCTTTAAAACTTAGCGTGCAAAGGTAGCTGCAAAATAATGATTTGTCTTTTATTTCTAGCATTTTTCTTTGCCAAACATAGGTGGCAGTGCCATGGTGGTTGTGCCTATACTTGTAATATGGCATGCCCATGTGCAGAATCAAAATTTCAGTGGCAATCATAAAAGTGACTATTTAAAGATCAGTCTTATGTTGCTCCTTAATAATTTTGGAGGTGTTTTGTTTTGTTTAAAAAGCTTCCCATTTTGCTCTTCTAGTTTCCTGCTCTGTCGGCTACCTTCCCCTTGCAATCAGAAGTCCACACTCTTCAGGATGCAAGAGGAACTCAGACTTTGTACAGTAAAATCCAGTGTCAAGAATATTTCAGAATGGAAAAAATGAAAGTATGCTCTAATGTCCTGACTGTTGCAGTGCAGTAAGGCTATGCAAATCCTTTAGATTTGTTATCTGGTAGAGGAAACAAATTCACTCCGTGGATGACTCACAGAAATGCTGCCACTTTCTTTTGAAATGTATTT